ACTGATATTTACGCGCCGCACAAACCAGCCGGTGTGCCTGTAAATGTGTTTACATTTGATCTTGAATATTTTCTTCACGTTATATGTTACAGGAGTTATAAATCGACTGTATGGATGTTACTTTATATGTCCTTTGATTCTTCCAAATAAACGCTATACATTGTTTCGTAGTAGGAACGATTTCGAAGGAGTTTTTTTTTTATTTTAAAAGTTATCAAGCTCGTAGTCCATCTGATGTTAAGTGGTTACCACTACTCAAGGACATCAAGAGGCTTGCAGATGCTTTGAGAAACTTTAAAAAAATAATTTTAAATAAACTAGCGACCCGCCCCAGCTTCGCATGGGTGCAATGCAGATAGATATTGTATGTATGCTACATATAAACCACTATTGCTTAAAACCGCATGAAAATCCGTTGCGTAGTTTAAAAGATCTACAAACCTAATAAATAATAATCCTATCATAACTATGTAAAGGTAATTGAAAAAGGTTCAAACACGATCGACATTAACGCGAGCTGCGGCCACACCGAATCCATACAGTCACAGTCGAAAGTAATATTCGTCGAATGATAAAAAAATGGTAGAGAGAGAGATCCCTCCCGCTCTGTAGTTATCATAGAAAAACGAATTAAAAAGCGCGGGCCTTCTAAAAGTATGGTTTCGGCAAAGGATTGGATAAAATGATAAAAATGAAATATGATGGCCGTGCGCAAAGCGAGTATTCGAGTATGGAGTAATGTTGGGAACGGACTTGTCGATGTTTTGACTCTTCATTGTTACTTATTTTGGTTTCTTTGGTCTTATATTTGATTACTGATGATTATTGAAGCGCCTTTAACTTTCTAGAAGCTTGAAGCTACTTCCATTCGATTGGAGGTGCCTACCGACGACTTTTCAGCCCTAGACATTCACACAGCAACATTTTTACATGTTTTTTAAGCTCTACGTTTGAACTTTCGACTTCCGATGATTGATGTTTGCTCTTTCTGTCCGTTCACCATTTAAAATCATCTGGCACATAGGTCTGAGAAAGGGCAGTTTTCTACTAGTGTCACGTAAGTGCCTTCACCTCACAAAATTGGCCGCTGAGGTCCGTTAAGCCAACTGTGACTTTGGCGGCGGTCGACTGTTACCCGCAGCCTGGGAGGGAACATTTACCCTATGTGCCCTGGAAACTGGATGCTATAGTTATACGATGCTAATTTAAGTGTAGTGAAACCCACATTCTTAGCTGTAAGTATTTACTTAGCCAAGATCCACTTGTTTTGTTGTGGACCTTGGCTGACACCCACTTATTTAAAGGTAGGTGCTGCAGATGTCCATGGGTGGTAACACCATTGAAACGCTAGCTAACTTGCCAATTTTTCACATAAAAACCAAACAAACACAAATTAAATAATGATTTCTTATGTTTACTCGAATATTGTATATATAAATATGTAAATATTGTAACGCTTGTAGGACTAAATGTTACGCTGTTGTCTTTATGTGCAGTAATTACACCTGATTTTGTGCAGTATAAGTTCGTTTGACGCCTGATAATGTCGATAAAATTGACAACACTACGCCGTTCCTAGTCTGTTCACATTAGATGGAATCCCGGAATTTTTTCAGAATATTAAATTTAAACAGAATACAACAAAGAGAAATGTGTATCAATGCCATTTGGTGTGCAAGGGAGATAAGAGAATTTCTACTTCCGACAGCAGTTCCTACTGTAGTGTGAACCGGTCCAAAATACCACGAGTCCACAGAAGACAGTGGAAGTGAAAACATTTAAGAATTTGCATTTCTTCTGGTGGTGATGGCCTCTGTGGTACTTGGTCGTAACCTCTGGGTCTTAGCGTTGTCTATAACCTGTGGAGTTAGACTACGCTACTGTAACCCCACAGGTTTCCTAGATGTCAATGGGTGGTTATAAGAAAGAATAACATTTTGTCTGTCCTCCTATTTAAAAAAAACCAATAGCAAAAGCTGCCATGAATCGGAGTGACAATATTTTGTGTAGAATCCGAATAATGTGAGGAGATTTAAAATCGAAAATACAAAAAAAAAAAAATTTTTTTAAATCTAAAATCGATTTCGAATTCCACCTAACCAAAAAATATCCAAAGTATTCATCTTCGTTTTACGTCGGCTACCACAAACAGCAGCGAAATCCTAAATAATGGCTTTTATTAAATGTAGAGCAGATCTGTTTAAAAAAAATCATTAATTACTAATGTTTTCATCTAGGTAAACGCCCTGTGTTTTTAGTATCATTCATTACTAAACACGATAAATCCATAAAAATATTTTCAGTCACGTAAACACAGATCCGTAAATTTAGTTTCACCTGGTTGTGTAGGCGTAAATATAACAAATCATTCTGCAATCATTTTGATTTATTTATTTATTTATACTTCATTGTTACACCTTAGGGTAAAGGCTACAATGGGCGGACTTAATGCCTAATGGCATTCTCTCCCAGTCAACCCTTGTCATGGCGAGAAGTAGATGGCAGGTGCTAAACCGAGGAGTAAATAAGAAATAAATAAATTTCCTTTCAAGTTTATAATTGTAGGCAAATGTGTACAAAAATATATCTAATGTGCGTATATATATATATATATTTTATGTTTCTTTGTTTGTTCTGAATTTTCTTTCGTTGCCATCCATCCTATGTGGACAGGACAGCAACAGCCGCGTTCCGCTGCCCAGCGCCAAAAGAATTAAAAAGTGGCGCGTTGCAAATGGGTTGCAAAAAACCCAAGCCGACCGGGCCGCGCCGAAACCGTCAAAGTAACGTTATTAGGGCGGGCTTTGAGAGCGCGGATTACGTTTCGCGACCTACGCGCCTCCGGAAAAATGCTGAAATTCTCGTGTAGGGATGAGCTCCTTTTCGATGACTCCGTGGTGCAGCTGCCGAAGCATCGGCTTCGGCGTCGGTGGTCATGGGTTCGATTCCCACACGGGACAACTATTTGTGCGACCCACGGATAACTGTTGTTATCGGACGGATCTGGTTGTTTGTCCGCGTCAATTGTGTTTTTAAAACGATCTTACAACACAGGATAATGTTATTCTACAGTAAAGGCATTTTTTTTAAATGAGACCAATCAAATTTATTTATTTATATATTTATTACAAAAAACACAAGATACAAAAAAAATAATGAAATTTAAATTGTTTATAGTGCTAATCTTTGCACTTAAGATTGAACATTAAAATATGTAGAATAATTTAAATTAAAACTATAAACAATTTAAATTTCTAAAAAAGCAATGGCGACATCTCTCGTTCGAATTATCGTTGTAAAACGATATTCGAAGTTGTTTGTTTGCTGTAAAGGATATAACAATAGATGGCGCCAAGCATTGCTTCAAATGCTAAGAAAACAATGTGGAAGAATGCGTTAAGATTTTCGTCGGTGTGGTAATCAACCGTTTAGCTCAGTGGCTAGAGCGTCAGGCCGCGAATGCCGAAGACGTGGGTTCGATTCCCACAGCGGCGACAATCTTTTCGCACTTTTTCTACATATTTTAATGAAAATAATGAACAAAAGGTAAGCTTAACTCAATACATGTCTTCTCTGCCAGCTAACCTGGTGAGAAAAGAGATGATTGAAGGTAGCAGTATCTTGTTAAAATATAACAATCAATAATTATTTAAACAATAGTTGGGCTTCTCCTACAATTCTATCCTTTCTCTCGACTCATTAATTCCTAAACATCTTAATACAAACATGTCGGTATTTCACAAACAACCGAAAAAAGCGGCAGACGCCGCTAAAAAAAAATTGCCTCGTCTATGCCAAACAATAGTCTTTACTCCGCTTTGCCCCTCGACAAAGGAATTACCGATGCTACCATAGATAAATAATATTTTTCATAGCCATCGTTCTTTGACTCGGGTTTAAGTTACAAGATTTTAGCATTATTTTTATATTGTGTACATCAAAAAGTCTGTTTACCGATGCAGTTTTAAATAACTATTTTTTAACCTACTGTTACTTGCCACCTGGTCTGTGCTAAAGGAATACATCTGGAGGAAAATTATGCATCTAAAAAAAAAAGAATTTGGCGATTTAAATATGAATTCTTGCGCTTGTCCTACTATAATGTAAAGATTTCACTACCAATTATTTAAACAATTATTATAATTACCCTATCAGCTTTTCCAGTGTAAGTACTCTACGTATTTTAGAAAAATCTATGTACATATCAAAACCTGTTAGGATTTTTTCTGGTACTTACGAGTACATCTGTAATAACAACACAAGACACATACTATTGAAACGTTTTCTAAATTATTTCTAGAAAAATCTCTCGTAGTGCATAGTGTTCAAAGCCTTACCCTACTTTTTACATACCACGAATCTCATTGCGGGATCTTCGTATGGAGTTTCATTTAAATTTGTATTTGAGTAGAAAAATAATTAAAAGGCTGATTACTTTCCAAGAAATCCAACTTCCTTGCTCAGATCAGAAATTGCGGTCCCAACGTTACGGGCAATTTCGCTGCAAACTGATTAAAGGGGAAGCAGTTGCTACTCATAAGATTTTCGATGCGGGTTCGATTTTCAGCATTTTTTGAATTTTTGTCTGTAACACTCCTTTACTACGCAGTGTATATTGTCCTGTAGGCGGGGTAAAGTTTTTTTAGTGAAAGTACAGTAAATTTAAATTTGATAAAAAATGGTGGAAGTAGTGGATAGGTGATATATTTTTACACAACCTTATTTAGTAGTTATTTAGTCCAAATTTAAGCATATTTTACACTGTGGGTAATATGTTACTGATAATACGGTGAGAAGCATACCTTAACACTCTTTTATCTTGTAATTAAATACATATAACAAAAGTATTTGTATTTATGTTGCACGTTGCATTTATGCGTGGATCACCCGCCTCCGCTTATGCCGCCGCTGGCCGCTCGTCCGTTGCGGCCTAATCCGGGGGAGCGTCGAGGGCGCTCCATACGAGTTATTAGCTCTTTTGTGCGTTGCACTCGCGTTTAACGCATCGTTGGAGGCGCGCCGCGCGGGTCTTCTATTTGTTTAAACCGCCATTGTCCGCCCAGTCTCGCGTACTGCATCGATTGGCTATTGCACTTATGGTCGCCTCTCCGCCTTTGCGGCAACATTAACATGCCCTCGCAAACGGACCCCGAGGAATACGGCGGTTCAGGGCGAAGAAACACTTCACGCGCAGTCCTCTATGCAAACGGCACGTGGCGAATGAAACGCGGGAGGTTTTTTGTCTATTATCTTTGAGGATAGTGATGGCGTGCAAATAAAAGAAGTAAGTTAACAGCCTGTATATGTCCCACCGGTGGGCAAAGGTGTCCTCAGTGCAGAGGGTATTAGAGCATATTGTTCCAGCATATTGTTTTTTTTGGTATTTGAAAATATGCGGGATTCACGATGTTTTCCTTTACCGCAGAACACATGACAAGTTAGCATTTAAGAACTTAAACAGCAGTTTACAATGTAATTGGTGCAGACACTGATCTATCACAGCGTGCATTGTAGTAAGATAACAATTACGCAAGCGGTTAGGGATGACCACACGTGGACGTTCACCACAAAAGATGATGCAGGTGTGTCGTAAGCTACTTATAGTGGGCGCCTGGTAACCTCACTCACCAGACGATACGCACTTTGTGTATACGCTTCTGCCAGGACTTCGGTGAGGGCGTGGTACATCCCTGTTCGAGCTGCTCTCTTTGTGCAGCAATGGTTGATACGAAAGTTGCCGCAGCATAGTTGACTATAGTTACCTATCATCATCATCATGATCATTTCGGCCTGTGAGTCCAATGGTGAACATAGGCCTCCTCCACAGACTGCCAACCCCTGCCCTGTCGTACCATTACCGCCACAGTAGCCAAGAATAGCAGGGCCGCCGGGTAATGGGGGCCGCACATCTTGGACTTCCATTCATGAGGGGCTGCAATAGTTGCCACGTCTAGCAAGCGGGCTGGCAACCGCAGTTCTTCCAGACACCTCGCACCTTTAACACTGATGGCAGTTATTGAACTGGATATTTAGGGTCTGGAGAGTCGAGATGGTTATCGCGCCATCTTACCATCAGGTGAGCCTCCTGCTCGTTTGCTGCTTTTTTCCCATAAAAAAAAAAATCTAATGGAGGCCACCGGATGTTTACAGCTTAACCCTCAGTCGCCTCTTACGACACCCACGGGATAAGATGGAGTTGCTTACTCTTACGCCGACACCACACGACAAATAGTAACCTATAACCAGGACTAATAGATCTTTGATTGCTCTTATAAGATACGACAGTCGGTTGGCTACAAATGAAGGGCAACAAACATGAGCAGGTTGATTTGTTAAACTATATCTGAGTTTAGTTAAGTTACATTTATTTCAAAGACATAATTTATTGTAGTAGGGCCAGGCAACAGCAGGCAGGTCCCTCTGGGGCAGTAACTAGGTACTAAATTGAGTGTTCGATCCACCGCTTGTTTTCATATTTCGATTTCAATTTAATAAGTAATTTCATTTTAATTATGTAGAACAACTATAGACAGAACGGTAGCATTTAGTTTATCTAGTATCCTTCATTAACCCGCATTAAAAAATATGAGAAGTGAGAGTTTGCGTCTGCATCAGATCTACGTTTCTATAGACAATTAAATTTGAAAAGAATTCATACCCAACTAGATAAGGACAGAAATGGATTGGACGTAGATCTATGGATAAATAAAGAAGCATATTTTATGTTTACGGGTGTGATCGCGTTTTAATTTCAATTTAATTCCCGAAGTTCCCAACCTATTTTCTCAGCGTGCATGGTCACGGGATGTTTCATGACTTGACGTAAACTCAGTCGGTCCCAAAAAAGGTGCCCCAATTAAAACGTGATGAAATCCGTAAAGTAGTTTCATTTTATATTTCTTACATTCGCGTAAAAACAAGAAGCATAACATGTTCATTGCACGCGCCATTGCTACCTGCTTAGGAGGACTTGCTACCTTATCGCATAGAAACAACGGGACCGTCGGAACGGACACTATCGGGCGGACAGAATAAAAGCGCGCGTTTACCCGACGGTGAAATTAAGGGATCACCCTTGGTTAATTTAACAGGACTGCGATTAATGGTGCGGAAGATCGCAAATACTGAGAACAAATGGCGGGAAGCCAACCGGGCCGGAGATGGCCGTCTGACAGATGCAAAAAGCGCGCCAAAACCCTTTGGGAGCTGTCAGTTCGCGGCAGATGTCGGCTGCGATCTGTTGACAATTTTCATTGTAATTTATCGTCGCGCCATAATTGTTTCGACAGCTGAACGTTATCTGTGTAATTGAGGTCGGAAACTGCACCGATAATTATATTCGACCGGCCCACGTACGCTAGGCCGGTGTTTCACTGTGGGATATGATATGCCTACATCGTATCTCGAGATCGCTTTATATTAAAATTTAAAAATATCATATACTAGCTGCTGCGCGCGACTACGTCTGCGTAAAATAGCCTGAAGGCGTAACATTCACACAGAAAGACAGATATAATAAAAACATGTATATAAATAATAGCCTATGTTTTATTCTGATGTATAAGCTGTATTATTGTAAAGTTCCATTAAAATCCATTCAGTAGTATTTGCGTGAAAGAGTAACAAACTTTCGCCTCTATAATATTAGCGAGGATTTTTTTTGTGAGAGTTACGCAAGGTAAGGCAAATTAAGAATAGTACGGCATCAAACGAGCTGGCGATTCACCTGATGTTAAGTGATAACCGCCTCCCAGGGACATTTGCATCACCCATAGATGTAGATGCGTTGCCATCTTTAATATAAAACCTCCAATTCACGCTGGTGTTCTGTGAGGTTTTGGTACTCCTCGGACGGACCTTCCTATTCACGAACAGTGATGACTTTTGCGTGGACCAACCACAGTTTAAATAAAACTTACTTAAATAAAAAATCTCTTTTCTCTAGTTGGCACTTACAGCTGCTTCTACGGTTTAACCTGGGGAGGACCTCAGTCTCACATAACACAAGAATAAAGTAGAAGAAGAAGAAGAAGAAACGTTTATTCACAGTCTAAGCATAATGGATACACACAAAGCTTAAAAATAATAATGTAACTACACAATATATAAAATAATATTGGAAAAACTTAAAATAAATGTAAACAAGACTTTCCACCGTTATGTTTCGTTTGATAAGTGAGGTAACCGGGGCCGGAAGGTTGGCAACCCAAGTGCTAGCCAGTAGGTATTGAGCATATCCATGTACAGTGTAAAAATTAACATCAGCTGTCTTCGATTGGCACCCGCTCTTAGTATGCCATCGCGAGCTATATAAATTCATGTCAATAATATTTAGTCCCGCAGTGTGCCACCGGCTTTAAGATGGTCACGTGGCGTTATCAGCAGCGCCGAAACCGTGAATCGCAACTCGTCACCAATTGAGTTGTCCGATAGAGGATCGACATTTTGGGGGAAATATCGCGTGCAAACTGGGTCCTCTAGTTTTATAAGGACTCCGGTAAATTGGCAAGCCTCTCACCGGATGTCAGTCGCGTGCCATGGTGGCTAAAACTTTTCGGAAACAATTTTCGCCAAAGAAACTTCTGGGATGGTGCTTCTAACGCCATAACTACCGTGGCAGGGCCACGGAGCAGTTTCTGCTGTTTCTTTGATTGGGCAGGTCCGTCCGGACAAGTAATACGACCTCACAGAAGACCGGCGTGAAGTGTAAGTGTTATACTTCTGGCGAGTGAGGTAGCCGGGAACTTTATCGTAAAGTGGCAACACATGTGCAACCCTACGGGGGTTGCAAATGTCAATGGTGTGCTACTATCACTTAAAAGGTGAAGCACCATCTCCCTTGATACCTTAAAATAGTTATAATTTAATCCTTAATTAATAGATTCTAGTAATGCAAACAGTATTATTACAAATTACATTAAACATATGGCATTAAATAAAACTGTTTCATGGTTTTTATCAGCTATTAATTAACAAGGTAACTTAATTTTTTTTAATGCGCCGAACTAAAATCTTCAAGCGTTAACCTCGAAGACTGTCGCGTGCGTAAAGTAAGTATTTCTTATTCAGTTTTTTAGTATTTGTTGTGAACACAAATACATGTGACAATTTTAACTGTCTAACTATCACGGTTCATGAGATACAGCCTGGTGACAGACGGACAGACAGACAGACAGCGGAGTCTTAATAATAGGGTTTTAACCTCTGGGTACCGTTGGTAACCATAAAAAACGTGAGATTAATCGTTTTTATTAGGTTAAAGCAATACGAAACGAATTCAAAAATCTCTGCGGGAACGGTGAAAAAACGCGGTTAAAGTTACATAACAAATATAACATGTCGGATTAAATAATAACGAGGGGGCTAACGAGTGAGGGCGGCACGCTTTGAAGTGATCCTTAATTAAACCGCCGCTTCTGTCAATTTGGACCGTGCACGCGTATGTATCGGTTATGCATCAATTATGTATGTACTTTTGTGGCCGGGTAACTCGAAACGTTGCTTTAATTAACGTTCATTCGTTTTTTGATACCGATTGTGGTATTTAAACCACGCTTTAATTACTGTCTCTAGTCGTCGACTCGTAGTAATCGTAGTACGTTCGTTGCGAACTTTGAGATTAATTTTAGACAGGCTTGGTCTAAACTCTTTTTCTACTTTTCTATTAATTCGGGCTATTCCCAGGGTCTGCCAAACACAACATGTGAATCATGTTGTTGGCGGTTTCGGCTATGTTTTTACGATCGGCCGCCTGCCTAACGTCAACCCTCCTTGGGAAACAAACACCCAGATCCGGAACAATTATTTGTGGGTCGCACAAATACTTGCCCCGTGTGGGAATCGAACCCACGACCCCCGAAACTGAAGCCAATAGCCTAGCAGCGCCTAGCAGCCATAAGCTCTAATGTACTTAAGACTGTAAGCTCCGGCCATTATACATTATCTCGAACTTAGAGTCTTGTCAATGAGTTCAGTCTATCTTTTCACTACGTAGAAGAAGTCCATTTTTAATAACGCAAAACAAAGCCGACTGACCATACATTTTATAACTAATTTTCAGGATTTCACTAAATATCTCCGGAGCCCAAGATCCAGTACCAATGAAATTAATATGGGACCACATGGGAAGCACCAGCTTTCAAATGAATCATAAAAATAGGTTCACCCAGTCGAAAGCCCTCCTTCTCTTTTGTAGTCGGTTAAAAAGTGGTAACAATGCCAAATTATGATTCGACACCTGTGTACGTCTAGAGCGATAAAAGAATGGAATATAAAGATGAAGCGTTAAAGGTTACGCACGTAGGAAGCTACTCGAGGATGTCGATGAACAGAACAATGTAAAGAAACATGACCATTTGGTTCCAGCTCTGTGTAGGTTTCTTATCGAGGTAGAGACGGCATGGCTTCGCTACAAATTCTAAAACCTTATGATTTCAAATAACTTCTGTTCCCTTGTCACTTCTTTACTTATATATATATCGATTTCAAGGAATCTGTCCTTTCAATTCTGGTTTTGAGCTTATTAAGTATAGAAAAAATGGAAATTTTGATAGAGCAACACCGCAGCCTCCACTGTTGAACGGATTGCCAGTCTGGTCCGAAGAAATAAGACGGCCTCTCAGAAGACAGACATATTGAAGACCCCTTAGAAGTTTTCATCTTAGAATTTTCTGTAGCAATTTGTCTAGATATTGAGGAAAACGGCTATAAAGAATCAAATGGAACTGCTTCTCACACCTATTCTAGATGCTCATAGGAAGAGATCATCTAACAATAGAAACGTC